CATCAGAAGGAAAGATAAGCAGTGGATGGAAAGTAATCAAGGAGAGAAGTAAACTAGAACTAAGGAAAAAAATTCCTGACCCTGAGAACAATTAACCAATGGAACGGTTTGCCTTCAGAAGTTGTGGACGCTCCATCAGTGGTGGCTTTTAAAGAGACGGGACAGCCATTTGTCTGAAATGGTATAGGAGTTGGAATAGAAGACCTCTAAGGTTCCTTCCAACTCTGTTATAAACCTCCAGTGATGGAGCACCCACAACCTCTGGAGGAAACCATTCCTAAAGAATCAACCTTCATTTGAAAGAGACTTTTTAAATCTTCCCACCAGCACAAAATTGCAGCCCCCAGTTTAACAGCGTGCAGCACCAGTCGACTTAAAAGTTGGGGAGGGAAAGGATTTGCAGCAGCAGCTGACATGCTTCAGCCGAATTGCTTCTCTGCTTCCACGCAGTGGAGGGAACCAAACAGCCCGATTCGCTCCCGGCCTCTCCTCCGAGCTCTCTTCAACTCACCTCCCAGCTGCTGCTTAGGTCCTTGGAAGAGCACAAAAGCCTCTCTGCACACCATCCTCCTCTAATGAGAGATCCAGGAGAGAAAGTTCCTTTGCACTTCTCATCCTTTCTAGCAGTGCCGTACTCTATGATTTTAACTCCTTTAAATTCAACCACAGAGGCTGCCTGCTGAATTGCAGTATCTGCTTTCTAGACACAGATGTTGCCAATTCAATCTATCAGAACAGAGCTAGAAGGGACCTTGAAGGTCTTCTAGTCCAACCCCCTGCTCAGGCAAGAGGCTCTATACCAGTGGTTCTCAACCTTCCTAATGCTGCGATCCTTTAATACAGTTCCTCATGTTGTGGTGACCCCCAACCCTCCATCCAGCTGGCCAGGGGGGTATCAAAAACTTGACCAAAAAAAAAAGAGGAAAAAATGGGAAAGTATAGGTAGTCCTTGACTTACAACAATTTGCTTAGTGACTATTTGAAGTTACAACAGCACTGAAAAAGTGAATTATGATTTTTCAAACTTATGATTGTTGCAGCAATCCCAGGGTATGTGATTTACATTCGGATGTTTGACAAGTGATTCATACTTATGATGTTCACAGTGTCCCAGGGTCACGTGATCAATGGCCAGAGGGCGTGGCCAGCTGATCACTCAGGTTGCAGAGTGCCTGTGGGGGGGGGGAATCTGTGGGTCTCTGGGATGGGACTGGGGGGGGTGCCTGCCTTCCTTCCCTCCCTTCTCCCCCCTTGTCCCTTTCTTCCTTCTTTTCTTCCTTTCCTTCATCTTCCTTAGTCTCTTCCTCCTTCCCTCCCTCTTTCCCATTGTCCCTTCCTTCCTTCCTTTCCTTCACCTCCTTCTTAGTCTCTTCCTTCCTTCCTTCTCTCCCATTGTCCCTTCCTTCCTTCTTTTCTTCCATTCCTTCATCTTCCTTAGTCTCTTCCTCCTTCCCTCCCTTTCCCATTGTCCCTTCCTTCCTTCCTTTCCTTCACCTCCTTTAGTCTCTCCCTTCTTCCTTCACTCTCCCCTTGTCCCTTCCTTCTTTCCTTCCTTTCCTTCACCTTCTTAGTCTCTTCCTACTTCCCTCCCTCTCTCATTGTCCCTTCCTTCCTTCTTTCCTTCCTTTCCTTCACCTCCCTTAGTCTCTTCCTCCTTCCCTCCCTCTCTCATTGTCCCTTCCTTCCTTCCTTCCTTCCTTCCTTCCTTCCTTCCTTCCTTCCTTCCTTCCTTCCTTCCTTCCCTCTTTGTCCCTTCCTTCCTTCCCTCCCTTCCATTGTTCCTTCCTTCCTTCCCTCTCTTATTGTCCCTTACTTCCCTCCCTCTTCGTCCCTTCCTTCCTCCCCCCCTCCATGCCCAGGAAGGGACAAGGGGAGGGGGACAGGTTGCCAGCGTGGCTGGTGGCTTTGCTGCCGGTGGCCATGGCAACATGCCAAACCTGCCTGTGCACAGGCAGAGGCAGAGGAGAACTGCACCCAGCTCACTTGCTCAGCTTCCCCAGAAAACATGCTGCTTGCTAAGTTAGCAGAAGCCCCAGGATCAGCGTCAAGCTACAGCTGATTCGCGCTTCTGCTAAATTAGCAATGTTTTCCAGCAAAGCTCGAGCAAGTTTGCTGGGCAGGAGCCAAGGAGAGCTGCTACAGCTGATCTGCTTCTGGGCTGCTCTGCAGAAGCGTGGATCAGCTGTAGAGGCTCGCCCTGATCCTGGACAAGAGGGAAGGAAGGAAGGACGGAAGGGACAAGGGGAAAGAGGGAGGGAAGGAGGGACAAAGAGGGAGGCAAAAGGAAGGAAGGAAGGAAGGAAGGAAGGAAGGAAGGAAGGAAGGAAGGAAGGGAGGGAGGGAGGGAGGGAGGGACAATGGGAGAGGGAGGGAAGGAGGAAGAGACCAAGAGGGAGGGAAGGAAAGGAAGTTCCAGCCAGCAGAGGCTTGGCAGCCCGGCTGCCGAGGAACAGAAGACCACAAAGCCAAGAAGAAGGTGATGATTTCCTCCCAAATGGGGCTCCTTTTCTCCATCCCTTCCTTGGGTTTGTGGAGAATTTCTTGTCACCAACACTGACAGGTGCTCCTTCGAGCCTGCCGCGAGCTTTCTCGCCCCCTTTGCTTCTCCCCCCCACTTTCGTGGGGATTGTGGCGCCGTTGGGAAGCCAATCATGCTTTGAAGTTTAGGAGAGGAGGAGTCCCTTGCTCCTTCCCTCCCTCTCTCCCTGTCGAGCCCTGGCGGGCTCGACATGGAGGAGGAGTTGAGGACGGGCGGGGTGGCAAAGGAGACCGGTAGCCGTTTCCAGACGTCCCGGCTGACAAGCGCAAGTTCGGGGGTTGCCAGCTGACTGGCGCAGGAGCTGGGTGCTGGGCGGCCTCCCCTTTGCTGACCTGCGTGCACAAGAAGTCAATCTGGTTGCTGCACAATGAGTCTCTGGGGAGGGCGGGGCCTTGCTCTGCACCTGCGCTCTTCATGCGCCCCTGCAGGGCACATTTGGTAGAGTTCGTGCAGACTGCCGCCAAGCACCATATGTTCCACAAACAAGTGAGATGGAGCGGAGGAGGGAGGAAGGGAGGCACTTCCGCGGGGGGAGAGAAGGCGATTGACAAGCCCTGCCTAAGACCATCGGAAATATGTGTTTTCCGATTGTCTTAGGTGACCCGTGAAAGGCTTGTGCCCCCCCCAAAAGGGTCACAACCCACAGGTTGAGAACCGCTGCCCTATACCATTTCAGACAGGTACCTAAGGCATTTGCAAGATATTGTCATTTATTGCATGCTATCAAATAGTCTTTGACTTTAAGCAACCGACCTTTGCAACTGAATCAAGTGAAATAATAAACTGTGATGCGACTTAGCTTGTGATCAGCCATATAGTGAACCCTAAAAATTCATGACGTTTTTACAGAATTACAGAATAATAAGTTTCTTTAAACTCACATATTTTACTGATGTTTTTAATCATAAATCACTTAGCAGTTGGTAAACAGTGTTGGTAAACAGTAATCATCTTATATCCTGTTACAGTCCTTATTTAAATTTGTTTCTCCCATAAAGTTCAAAGTATTCTTGCTCGTTAAGATCTTCTCAACAGTTAATTACATTTAAAGATATAAATCCATTTTTCCCATATAAACCATCTCCATAATTTTACGTTTCTTAAAGAATAGGTAAAAACAGTAAACAAAAGGAAAACAGAGCAAGAGTAAAGAAACATAAAAGTAAAATACTACTTAAAATATATATTCCTCCTAAGCTAATATATATTCATTCCCCAAATTTCCCCATTTCTTTTTTTTAACCATAATTAAAAATATATTTAATCTTTAAATATTCCATTGAATGTGTCTAGTCATCTAATCCTTTAACTCTTATTCAAACATTTTTTTCTTTTTTATACATTATAATTTCCCTAAATTCAAACACATTTAATTATCTAAAACATTTCCTTCATCTAAGCCATTTCAACAGTATTATGTTACTTATATCAGGAAATAAAATAAAAAGGGGGTGAAAGCATACAGTATTATTTAAGGAATTCATCCCTCTTAGAATGACATATATGTTCAAAATCTTTTCTACTTCTTTAATCATATTCAAACAAATGTCTCTTTTTAAAATATTCTCTCTGGTAGATCCCATCATCTATTTTCTTAATTTTCACTTTAATCTTTTTCCTTTGACCAGTATGTTTCTTGATCAATGTATTTTGCTGAATCAAAAAGTTTTCCCATATATTCATGACTGTTGCTGTAGGTATAAGAAGTACATCAAATAAAGTGTCTTTATATGAGGCTTTTGCCTTTCTATGTTTCTTGAAAATCTTTTTCTTCTTCTCTGCTTCTCTTATCACTTCCTTTCTCTCTGATGTTTTCAACATCTCTACATTCCATTTTATCCAATCTGTTTTTTTGTCCTCAGATTTATTTTGTAGTCTTAAGGGATGAGTTGTTTTTTCCACTAGGATTAAATCATGTTTTCTTGCTTTGTTAAGTTCCATCTTTGAGTCGCTATTTTCAATTTTATATTCACTTATTTGTTTTGTCTGCTCCTTCTCTGTTGTTGTTTCCTGGAAGTTTTTTTTGTTGTAGAGTTAACTTAGAAATAGATCAATTTATATTTTAAAATTTATTTTGGATTTGTGATTTGAATTCATTGTTGTTTGAATTAATTGCAGTATATATTTCCTCCTGAGAGGTATTTATGTTTTCTTGATGTGTTCTATCTACATTTCTCTGAAATCCAGAAGTGCATCAGAATGTAAGTATCAAAACCCCTTTTTCCCTTTTACCCCTTTCCTTTTTCTCACTTTTGGCTTCTGCCATTCTATGGGGGGGAGGGGAACTATGGATGTCTTGCCATGTATTTCCTTTGTTTTGTTCTTTCCTCTTTGAAATATCTCTCACTTGGAGTGAGAATGGAATGTGTACTGAAACATTTTTAACAATCAGGACATTCCAAGGATTTTTCTCCTGTGTGAGTCCTCTGGTGTGTTACCAGGGTGGAATTCTGACTGAAACCTTTACCACAATAAGAACATTCAAATGGGTTCTCTCCTGTGTGAATCTTCTGGTGTGTTACCAGGGTGGAATTTAAACTGAAACCTTTACCACAATCAGGACATTCAAAGGGTTTCTCGCCTGTGTGAGTCCTCTGGTGTCTCACCAAGCTGGAATTGGTACTGAAACCTTTACCACAATCAGGACATTCAAAGGGTTTCTCTCCTGTGTGAATCCTCTGGTGTGTTACCAGGTTGTAATTGTCACGGAAACCTTTACCACAATCAGGGCATTCAAAGGGTTTCTCTCCTGTGTGAGTCCTCTGGTGTGTTACCAGGGTGGAATTCTGACTGAAACCTTTACCACAATCAGGACATTCAAAGGGTTTCTCTCCTGTGTGAGTCCTCTGGTGTGTTTCCAGGCTGGAATTGGTACTGAAACCTTTACCACAATCAGGACATTCAAAGAATTGCTCTCCTGTGTGAGTCCTCTGGTGTGTTACCAGGGTGGAATTCTGACTGAAACCTTTACCACAATAAGAACATTCAAATGGTTTCTCTCCTGTGTGAATCCTCTGGTGTCTTACCAGGGTGGAATTGTCACTGAAACCTTTACCACAATCAGGACATTCAAAGGGTTTCTCTCCTGTGTGAGTGCTCTGGTGTGTTACCAGGGTGGAATTCTGACTGAAACCTTTACCACAATCAGGACATTCAAAGGGTTTCTCTCCTGTGTGAGTCCTCTGGTGTGTTACCAGGCTGGAATTGGTAGTGAAACCTTTACCACAGTCTGGACATTCAAAGGGTTTCTCTCCTGTGTGAGTCCTCTGGTGTGTTACCAGGGTGGAATTGTCACTGAAACCTTTACCACAATCAGGACATTCAAAGAGTTTCTCTCCTGTGTGAGTCCTCTGGTGTCTCACCAGGCTGGAATTGGTACTGAAACCTTTACCACAATCAGGACATTCAAAGGGTTTCTCTCCTGTGTGAGTCCTCTGGTGTGTTACCAGGCTGGAATTGTTACTGAAACCTTTACCACAATAAGGACATTCAAAGAGTTTCTCTCCTGTGTGAGTCCTCTGGTGTCTCACCAGGCTGGAATTGGTACTGAAATCTTTACCACAATCAGAACATTCAAAGGGTTTCTCTCCTATGTGAATCCTCTGGTGTGTTACCAGGTTGTAATAGTCACGGAAACCTTTACCACAATCAGGACATTCAAAGGGTTTCTCTGCTGTGTGAGTCCTCTGGTGTCTCACCAGGGTGGAATTTAAACTGAAACCTTTACCACAATCAGGACATTCAAAGGGTTTCTCTCCTGTGTGAGTCCTCTGGTGTGTTACCAGGGTGGAATTCTGACTGAAACGTTTACCACAATAAGAACATTCAAATGGTTTCTCTCCTGTGTGAGTCCTCTGGTGTGTTACCAGGCTGGAATTGTCACTTAAACCTTTACCACAATAAGGACATTCAAAGGGTTTCTCTCCTGTGTGAGTCCTCTGGTGTCTCACCAAGTTGTATTTGTTGCTGAAACCCTTACCACAATCAGGACATTCAAAGGGTTTCTCTCCTGTGTGAGACATCTGGTGTGTTACCAGGCTGGAATTGTCACTAAAACCTTTACCACAATCAGGACATTCAAAGGGTTTCTCTCCTGTGGGAATCCTCTGCTGTCTCATGATGTGGGAATTTTAAATGAAACTTTCACATTATCCAGGCACTCAAACATGGTGTCAGTCCTCTGATGTCTTAAATGTAAAACTGGAAAACCAATAAAATATTATAAGAAAAATATATTCTATATCAATTTTTAAAAAGTACAATTTTAATACCACAGGTTCCTATTTAAATGTAAGCTTAAATTTAACTAACATAGCCAGGTAACCCCTAAACAGGTGACATTTATTGCAGAATGGGTTTTGAGGTCTGGAAATCTCTGATTGTAGGGAGGAAAGTGTACAACAAAGGTCAGAAAACTTGAGTGGGTTGTGTGAAATGCTAAGAATGTGTTGAAGATAATCCCATTCAGTGACTGGAGTTTCATATGTACTAAACATCTGTCATAGAAGCTGCGGAGAATCATAAAATACCCATTTGTATAAATAAAGTGATAAGACTGAAAAGAATTTTATTAGCATAAATATGATACAGTAAATGTTAAAGGAAATAGAGAATGAATTTTTGATGATGTAACCTGAGATCTGTACTTTTGTTATTATACTATTGACTATTCAATCCCCAGGCTGTTTTCCAAATACTTAAATGTAAAACTGGAAAACCAATAAAAACGTTGTAAAAAAAAATTAATGTGGTATTTTGAGATTTGTATTAAAGATATCTGTATGTCACTGAATTATCGGTTAACCCAGCCGCCACATTGCTTTTCAAATACTTAAATGTAAAATTAGAAAATCAATAAAACCTTTTTTCAAATAAAAAATTCAATGGAGAAAAAAAATTAGGTTTTACTCTTAGGCAAGAAAAAGCAAATGTCAAGGTACAGAAGAGGTGGAACATGGCTCAATAGCAGTAACTGCGAGAGGGATCTTTGTTACATATTTTATGTTATATGTTATGAACATATCACAAATATAAGTTATAATTATAGAGGGCCTGCAATGCAAGCATAGTTAGCCTTTTCGTGAGATCTCATTGGGGAAACTCACATTGCTGGAATGTGTGTACTACCGATAAGGAAAGATTCTGGGTGCCTGTATGAACGATGTATTGTTCGTGATACCAGGTAGAACATTAGTGGGCGGAAAGAGTATAGGAGGTTTAATTTTTTTATGGAGTCTTGGACCAAAGCATGAGGATGTAAAGTTCCTGGCATGGCTGGAGTTGATTGTCATACACATGGATTCTGAGTAAAAAAGTTGGGTATAAAGAGAAGACTGGGGTGAACCAGACCCCAATTTCAAGACTTGTTGGAGCAGGGGACACCCTGAATCTGCTTTCCAGCCCATTCTAACATAGCCTGATCACCTGTGTTGAAAGGATATGTGAGTATTGTGTGAATGAGTAGCCTAGTTAGGTAGCAATACTTACAGCAACTGGAGTAGCCTTATTGGGCATAGTAACCTGAATAGCCTGTTGGGAATAACTTACTATAGTAAAATAACTTTAAAATTAGACAAGTATATGTATAAACACAAAGGAACTAATTAAGCATGCATGCCTTGCTTTTTATCCAAATAACACGGGAATAAAAGAACTATTGGAAAACTTCACTTGAGGGGCCTGAACTCAATTTTATGACATCTTGAAGTTTTAGTGGACAAGCACTTAGATACGAGCCAACACCGTGATGCAGTGACCAAAACAGCCAATGCAATCCGAGGCTGCCTAAACAGAGATTGAAGATCAGGTGAAGTGTTAGCACCAATTTATACTGCTATGGTAAGACCATACTGGGAATACTGCATCCAATTTTGGTCACCACAATATATAAAAAGTGTTGAGATTCTATAAAGAGCAAAGAGAAAGCAGTAAGGATGGTTATGGGGCTGGAGGCTAAAACATATAAAGAATAGCTGCAGGAACTGGATATGTCTAGTTTAGTGAAAGAAAGGACTAGGGGTGACATGTTCCAATACTTGAGGGGGCAAGAAGAGGGGGGTCAACTTATTTTCCAAATCATCAGAAGGAAAGATAAGCAGTGGATGGAAACTAATCAAGGAGAGACATAAACTAGAACTAAGGAAAAAAATTCCTGACCCTGAAAACAATTAACCAATGGAACGGTTTGCCTTCAGAAGTTGTGGACGCTCCATCAGTGGTGGCTTTTAAAGAGACGGGACAGCCATTTGTCTGAAATGGTATAGGGTCTCCTGCTTCAGCAGGGGGTTGGAATAGAAGACCTCTAAGGTTCCTTCCAACTCTGTTATAAACCTCCAGTGACGGAGCACCCACAACCTCTGGAGGGAAGCCATTCCCAAAGTATCAACCTTCACTTGAAGGAAACTTTTGAAATCTTCCCATCAGCACAAAATTGCAGCCCCCAGTTTAACAGCGTGCAGCACCAGTGGACTTAAAAGTTGGGGAGGGAAAGGATTAGCAGCAGCAGCAGCAGCAGCTGACATGCTTCAGCCGAATTGCTTCTCTGCTTCCACACAGTGGAAGAAATCAAACAGCCTACTCGCTCTCAGCCTCCTCCGACCTCTCTTCAACTCACCTCCCAGCTGCTGCTTAGGTCCTTGGAAGAGCACAAAAGCCTCTCTGCACACCATCCTCCTCTAATGAGAGATCCAGGAGAGAAAGTTCCTTTGCACTTCTCATCCTTTCTAGCAGTGCCGTACTCTATGACTTTAACTCCTTTAAATTCAACCACCGAGGCTGCCTGCTGAATTGCAGTATCCGCTTTCTAGACACAGATGTTGCCAATTCACTCTATCAGAACAGAGCTAGAAGGGACCTTGAAGGTCTTCTAGTCCAACCCCCTGCTCAGGCAGGAGGTCCTATACCAGTGGTTCTCAACCTTCCTAATGCTGCAATCCTTTAATACAGTTCCTCATGTTGTGGTGACCCCCAGCCCTCCATCCAGCTGGCAGGAGGGGGGGTATAAAAAACCTGACCAAAAAAAAGGAAAAAATGGGAAAGTATAGGAAGTCCTTGACTTATAACAATTCACTTAGTGACTGTTTGAAGTTACAACAGCACTGAAAAAGTGAATTATGATCATTTTTCACGTTTATGATTGTTGCAGCATCCCCAGGGTCATGTGATTTACATTTGGATGCTTGACAACTGATTCATACTTATGACATTCACAGTCTCCCAAGGTCACATGATCAATGGCCAGGGGGCGTGGCCAGCTGATCACTCAGGTTGCAGAGTGCCTGTGGGGGGGGGGAATCTGTGGGTCTCTGGGGTGGGTGCCTGCCTTCCTTCCCTCCCTTCTCTCCCCTTGTCCCTTCCTTCCTTTTCTTCCTTTCCTTCATCTTCCATAGTCTCTTCCTCCTTCCCTCCCTCTTTCCCATTGTCCCTTCCTTCTTTCCTTCCTTTCCTTCACCTCCTTCTTAGTCTCTTCCTTCCTTCTCTCTCTCCCATTGTCCCTCCTTCCTTCTTTTCTTCCATTCCTTCATCTTCCTTAGTCTCTTCCTCCTTCCCTCCCTTTCCCATTGTCCCTTCCTTCGTTCCTTTCCTTCACCTCCTTTAGTCTCTCCCTTCTTCCTGCCCTCTCCCCTTGTCCCTTCCTTCCTTCCTTCCTTTTCTTCCTTCCTTCCCTCTTTGTCCCTTCCTTCCTTCCCTCCCTTCCATTGTTCTTTCCTTCCTTCCCTCTCTTTGTCCCTTACTTCCCTCCCTCTTCGTCCCTTCCTTCCTCCCCCCCTCCATGCCCAGGAAGGGACAAGGGGAGGGGGACAGGCTGCCAGCGGGGCTGGTGGCTTTGCTGCCGGTGGCCATGGTGACATGCCAAACCTGCCTGTGCACAGGCAGAGGCAGAGGAGAGCTCCGCCCAGCTCACTTGCTCAGCTTCACCAGAAAACATGTCGCTTGCTAAGTTAGCAGAAGCCCCAGGATCAGCGCCAAGCTACAGGTGATTCGTGCTTCTGCTAAATTAGCAAGCGGCATGTTTTCTAGCAAAGCTCGAGAGCGGGGAGCCCGGACGTGCCTGGCTGCTGCTGCCCACGACCCTCGCCTCCGCCCGAGAGAGAGACCCCCCCCACCGGACCAAGAAGGACTTAGCTGGAGGTTTTCCTCGCCTTCGAGCCGGGAAGCGAAGCAACCCCGAAGATCTCTTCCACTGCTGAGCTGGAAGGGCTGGAGGAGCTGGTGGAGGGAAGAGGAGATAGGCCTTGGAGCCAGCTCGCCTGCCAGTAGCAGTAGCAGCCGCCGCCGCCGCCCCATCCCGCTGCCCCAGCCCACCGCCCCGGCCTCCTCCTCGGCCTTCTCCTCGACTTCTTAGTCCGCCGCCTCAGCCGCCTCATTGTGCCTGGAGGCCACCGCCGCCTCGTCCCCGCCGCCCAGCATGTCCCGCGTCCTGCGTGGCGGTGACCCACGGCCCAACTTTCTGCCACTGGAGTGTGCCGGCCTGCCCCACCAGCAGCCGCAGCCTCCCCCGCGGCGGCAGGCCTCGCAGCAGCTGCCTGCCTAGGCAATCCGGCCCGGCGCTCAGCCGACACTCGCTGCCCCGCGCGCGGCTTCCTTTTCCTTTTTCTCTGCCATCATCGCCGCCGCCGCCGCCTCTTCGTTTTCCTCGGGCTCTGCGGTGGGGCCTTTTCCGGTGACTTGGGCTCCCCGCGTGATTTCGCCCACTGCCCAAGTTGCGGTGACGGCCAGCAACAAGAGGAAGCACGACAACATGGCCAGCACCTTCAGCTTCAATTGTACGCTGTTGCTGGGTCCCGCCAGGGAAAGCGGCAGGCCGGCATTGGGGAACGGGCCCTTGGGGAGGGTGTCAAGCATCCCGGAGGAGCCAGCCTATACTGGCACCCCATGAAAGAAGATGAATTACAGTCCCGCCGTGGCTGGGTTGACTTTACACAATTGTTGGATGTCCGGAGAAGCCATTGATGAGCTGCACGAGAGGTACTTGGAGAAGTTGACCCAGCTCTTTGAGGAGCATAAGGCCAAGTACGGGCTGCCCCAAGACAAGTACCTAATGATCACCTAGCCGGC